GGTTTTTAGACTGGTGCCTTAACCACTAGACCAGGGGTGTCAAACTTGCATCATCACATGACATATTGCAACTTTTTGCCCCTTCACTAAACCGGGTGTGGGCGTGGCCAGCATGTGACGCATCCAGCCACAGGCTGCGATTTTGACATCCCTGCACTAGACCAAACTGGCTCTCAACTTAGTCATAACATGAAGCATTTGTATCCTCTGGGATGAAGAGTTGAATACAACGTGGGATCACAGAAATTTAGTTGTAGATGATGTCATCAACTATCTAAAAGAGTCAGCCTTAACCCCTGCCATCAGCCCTTCCACAAGCAACCCATCTTTTCTTCATCTGCCACCCAATCTCCTACGTTTGTTCTATTTCTGTGGGTCTTGCCATTTTCTTCCTCTGTCCACTCAAAACGCTTCTTTCTGGAGCAGGTTTGAGTTTGGGGGCTGTGCACCAACCTAATCCATGGACAGACAGAATTATCAGGTGCACCTGTTTTGCACAAACTGATGAAAGTCTATTTTAACCTGCCTCAGCTAGGATTGGGAATGAGAGGAAGACAATGTTATCAGTGGTGAAATCCATTTTTTTTACTACTGGTTCTGTGGGCAGGGCTTGGTGAGCATGGCAGGGGAAGGATACTGCAAAATCTCCATTCCCCCCTCACTCCAGGGGAAGGATATTGCAAAATCCCCATTCCCTCCCCACTCCTGGGCGAAGGATATTGCAAAATCTTCATTCCCACCCCACTCGGCCCCCACGGGGGCCAGCCAGAAGTGGTATTTGCCAGTTCTCCAAACTACTCAAAATGTCTGCTACTGGTTCTCTGAACTACTCAAAATTTCCACTACCGGTTCTCCAGAACCTGTCAGAACCTGCTGGATTTCACCCCTGAATGTTATGAGCATATACAGGTAGCCCTCAACTTATTACCACAATGGAGCCCCACATTTTTGTTGCTAAGTGAAAACATTTGTTCAGTGAATTTTGTCCCGTTTTAGGCCTTTACATGCCACCATTAAGTGCAGTCATTAAGTTAGTAACAAGTTTGTTAAATGAATCTGGCTTCCCCATTGACTTTCCTTGTAAGAAGGTCACAAAAAGTGAACACATGACCCCAGGACATTGCAACTGTCATAGTCAATTGCCAAAAGTGTCTGAATTTTGCTCTGGGGATGCCGCCAGGGTTGCAAATGTGAAAAAAACGGTCATAAGTCACTTTTTTCCAGTGCTGTTGTAACTTTGAACGGTCACTAAAAGGTACTGTTGTAAGTCGAGGACTACCTGTAAAAGATAAAGTCTGCCAGATAGGTTCAGGCTGTGCTTAAGAGTACAGGGAGGAAGAGCTCTCAGTCTTCAGATCCACTTCAGTAGGATAGGGAGGTGACCTCAGCGTCCCTCTTCCCTCTCCAGCTTCCAGAGCTGCGGCTTCCCTGAGAAGGCAGCAGGTGCCTTTACTTCAGCCTACACACCCACTCAGCAAACACAGCCTGGGCGTCCGGTTCCTGCGCGCTCTCCGGACTTTTGTCTTTCCAAGGGGGAGGGGGGTATGATGTCCGCGCGCCCTTCCCCCCCCCAAAAAAAGCTTCGTGCTGTCGGTGGCTTACCCTGAATTCCCAATAAGCAGGATTTTGAGGTGTGAACGTCTGAACATGGGGCGTCTCCGCCAGAACCTGAAAAGAGAGAAGTTGGGGGCTCAGGCGTTGCCACCTCACCTGGTCCGGGAGGTGGGAGATGGGGGGCTTCCCCCGGAATCCGGTCGCCCGTCTTTCGACGGCAGCGAGAAAGCGGTAGCCCAGAGGAAAACTTGAGGCGTCTTATTTTTAAAGCCCAATTTCTGTCGCCCCCCCCCCTTCCCTTCCCTTCCCCCATGGTGGCTCTCTTACTCCGAGAGCACCCGTCTGCCTTTTCGTTCCAGAATCTCCGAGGGAGGGAAAGTACTGCCAAAGGAGGTCGTTCCTCACAGTTTCCTCCCAGGAGCAAGAGAAGGTGCTTGCGAGCGCGCGCAACCAACCACGCCTGCCGCTGCTGGGATTCAGGGCTGAGCAGCGGCTCCCTGACGAAATCCCCGGGGTTTGTCCTTCGGCGGGAAAAGGGTTTCTCCCAGCAGCCGATAGCCTGGAAGGAGCAATTGGCCAAAGGGGGAATCCGCTTGGATCTTCTTGTCTGCTAGAGAGGCTGCATTCAAAACCTACTTCCAGGCCTCAGTATCAGGACTTACTCCAGGAGCTCTGAGAGGGGGAAGAACGTTTAAATAGCTCCTGAGCAAGTGCAGACTACAGGTAGTCCTCGACTTACAACAGTGCATTTAGTGACCATTTAAAGTTACAACACTGGGGGAAAAAAAGTGATTTATGGCCATTTTTCACACGTATGACCATTGCAGCATCCCCATGATCATGTGATTTAGATGCTTGACAACTGGTTCATATTTATGACGCTTGCAGTGTCCCGGTGATCACCTTTTGTGACCATCTGGCAAGCAGTCAGTGGGAAAGCCAGATTTGCTTAACAACAGTGTTGCTTACTTAGCAATTGCACTGATTCACTTAACAAATGGGGCAAGAAAAGTTGTAAAATGGGGCAAAACTCAAAACAAATTTCTCATTTAGCGACAGAAATGTTGGGCTCAATTGTGGTTGTAAGTCAAGGACTACCTGTACTTTCTTTTGTCACTTGGCAGAACCAATCTGTGTTCTAAATAGTGTGCCATTGAGCCAACTGAGACATTAAAGAGGAATGATGGCCTCCTGGTCACTTGTTTGAAAATCCCTTTCTGGGAAAACTGAACACCACTCCTAAATCAGGATGCAGTGAAGGATGGTAAGAAGCTGTTTGATCTGAAGGAAGGTCCACAGTGCTATCTACCCATGTTGTCTCCTCCTATGCATAAAGCCAAGGGCAGCAAAGCCTTGTGTTGCCTTGACTCCCCCTTAGGCCTAATGGAAGAAGTTGCCTTGGGCCACTCATTTGGATTATCAAGAAAAAGCAATGAACCATGATTGAGTTTACCAGTGCATGTTAATTTCCAGGAATGGGGTAAGGATAGGGAGATGAATACACAGTACAGGTAGCCATCACCTTACAACAGTTCATTTAGTGACCATTCAAAATGACAATGGCACTGAAAAAAAGGATTTACGAGCATTTTTATGACTTATTGTAGCATCCCCATGGTTGTGCGATCAAAATTCAGACGCTTAGCAAATGACTCATATTTACAACAGTTGTCACGGGTCACCTTTTGCAACCTTCTGACAAGCAGTCAATGGGAAAACCAGATTCACTTAACAACTGTGTTACTAACTTAACAACTGCAGTGATTCACTTAACAACTGTTGCAAGGTAAGTTGTAAAATGGGGCAAAATTCACTTAAGTGTCTTGCTTAGCAACAGAAATTTTGGGCTTAATTATAGTCATAAGTTGAGGACTACCTGTATGCAATTCTTCCTTAGCAGCCTTTTTTTTCTGAACTAGGGTGTTTGGTATGTTGCTGTGAAGGCTGTTCCAAAGGAAAGCTTCAATATGAGATCCCTTTAACAGATTCCCTTCACAGCTCATAGCTTGCCCTGCCCTTCCCAATCTGCCCCACCCCCTTGATCTTAGTAATAATAATAGTTTATCTTACAATATTTTAAGCACTGTAACAGAATCATGCTTGTAAAAACTTTTAAACAAGTTAGAATGTTAAAACTGAAGCCTTTTCTTTCTACTACAGAAATGGCCAAGTATGATATACATTTGAAATATATGGGACTTTTCTAAACGAATATAACTCTTCTCTGACATTATAGTACATTGCAACTGGGTAATGTAAGAATGAACAAGGGATCCAAACTCTGCCCCAAAGAACTTTGATTATATTTAGATAAAAGATAATGGATGATTTTATACCCATTGATTTCCATAGGTTTTATAAATTAAAATGCCTTTTAAATGTTATACTGTGTATTAAATAATGAGTAAATAAAAGGGAGGTGGTTTGCATTGTATAGACTAGGCATGGGAAATTTATTTTCCATCCTGACTCAGAAATGTATGCATGTCTTTCCAAGAAGCAAGAATATGAGATGTTCCAGCTCTCCATACCACAAAAGCATAACAAAATTCAACCCATAAATGCATCTATCATGCGTTGTGGTGCATGTGCAAACTATATTTAACTTCCGGTACAGAAGTGCTTTTCGCGTTGGGGTGGTGGTGTTTTATTTGCTTTAGTGTGCCTAATGTGAATAAAAATACTGTTTTCTGCATTTTTAATGTGAGGAGGAATTCTGCCTGCCCAGACACTATTGGCTTAGTCGGGGATGATTCCCCCATCTATTTACTTGGGAGTGGTAGGCTCACTTTAAATCTATGATATATTTTTTTTCAGATGAATACGATACATTGTTTTTCCGCACAGCTCAAGCCCACAGCGGAACACAGCTGAGTAAAAATTCAGGAAGGCAAAAAATGAGAAGGGAGGGAAGCAGGGAGATCTCTGCGCAGATAAATCTGCTTCTGTTTCTCGACCATCTTTGTTGTTTTCACCAGCTTAATTTTAGACTGGGGAAAAAAATCGCTGCCGGTTGTCACCATTACTCAATCATTCGAAGTGGAAAACGCTTTGTTGATTTACACACAAGGAATCGCGGCGGCGAGTCAGTGGAATAAATCTTCATTGCCCGCCCTTGGCTTAAATAAATCGCTGCTTCTCTGATTAGTCTCTATGCCCAGAGTTAGAAAATCAGTTGCTCTGTACGGATTCCCGAAGTGCTTTAAAATGCTCTACACAAAGAATCGACTAACAGTTCTGTAGATTTTAGAAGGGAAAGTTTTATATACATCAGCGGGCCTGGGAATTAAAAGTGCAAGATAGCAATTATCTTGTTTTTTTGTTATTATTCTGCCAGGCTCGAGAGCAATTTACAGCAATTTTAGGGTTAAAAAAGATTCTAGGAAAAAGAAACCAAATCAACTCGTCCTCCACTCCTTTGGACTAGGATCAGGTGACTCAAGCAATCATATGATCAGCGACTCACTAATTGGTTGCAAAACTTTTGCTAGATTTAAAAAAATAACTTGGGACACATACAAGAATGTGCTGATACCTCGATTTGCTTCACTAGCGGCAACAACAGATCTCTGGATTTGTCAGAGCTAAATTAGACCAAGCAGCAGAAATGGATTGGCAGAAAACGCTGCACAACTGGCAGGAACGGATCTCTCAAGAGCTGGACTCGGTGGTGGATTTTTGGCTACGGCACTCCCATGATAAGGAATATGGGTGAGCTTCGATCTGTAAAAGGCAGCTCTTCGGTTTCGTGTGCAGTGCAAGCCAAGGCGATGCGGTTGGTTTATAATAAATACAGGGCATGATCGTGTGAGTTCACAGACGAGTTGAGTAAATGGTAGTCCAGATGATCGGGCCTGATGCGAATATAACCTACTATTAAATTATTTTTAAAAACATATTTGAAAGGAATAGTAACCGTATGCTTGCTACTGTTGCTATTTTTTAAGTAAACACTGTTAAAATGGAAGGGATGAAGAAAAAGACCTTTTCAAGATAAGGAGAGGATCCTGTTCCTATATGGCCCAGCCACTGTAGGCTTATAGCTCTTAGTTCTTAGCAATTCCCGATGATTACTTGGGAATAATAGGCATTAATATCCAGCATACTCTGGATTCATGATGCATCATATATACGATCTGGCTGTTGTTGGATTCACACATCATGCTAAACTTAATTTATATTTTCCCTGTGATTAGTGATTTTTTAATGAACATCACTAAAGATGGTTTCTTCAGCAAAACATGGAGAAGCAAACTGTGACATAAGTTCAAAGCCTTTATTGTTATTGTACATCATGTATACAACAATAATATGTGGCTCAGCTCTTTCTCCTTTTCAATAGTATCCAGAATTTACTAAGATAATTTATTTCTCCTGCTACTTGAAGAAGCCAGCTACAGGTGCCTTCCGTTTGAAAATTTATTGCTAATTACCCTGTTCACGCAGTTTCTGGCAATTGCTGTTTAGTTCCTCCTTTCTTTCTCAGAGATATTTAAATTGCTGGCTAGGAATTCTGGGAGTTGTAGTATAATACTTCTAGAAACCAAGCTAAGGAAACCTTCAGTCTCTTTCTGGTTTTCTAACTGCTGCTGCCTCTTTTATTTTTCCAGAGGGTTCTTTACATGTCTGGACCAGACTGGAAAAGTTTATGATGATCTGAAATATGTATGGTTGCAAGGTCGACAGGTAATTTTCAGATTTTCTGTTCTTATCCCCATTGAAAGTTGGGAAAGTAAACTGAAGCAACTGATCCGTCAGACAAGCTTTCTTAGTATAAATCAAGAAAATGTGAGCCTTGGGAATTCGTTGAATCTTGGCTTCATGATTCATTTGGAAGGGATGGAATAAAAAAGATAAAAGATTCAAGTACATATGAAAAATAGATTAAGCCAAAAAGACAGAGCATTTGCTGCTACTTCTAATTGTGTTTGGCTCTTACAACCAAAGCTATAGAAATACCACATTATTTCAACCTGGAGCAGCCATAATTTTGAGTTTAAAAGCTTATTGTAAATTACACATGATTTGCATAAACTTAGGTTGATGACTGTTGTGGGCTTTTGGATGGCATGGGTAAACCTAAGATTTTGATTAAACAGATGCACACAAAGCAGGGTAAGATATTTAGCAGATTGTGGGAATAATGATACTCAAGAAAATGTTTTTTAATGTCTTGAGCTTTCACATATTTCTTTAGAACAGGAGAAAAGAACTAGGAGCCCTCCAGATATTGTTGAACAACACTTTCCAACAACCCCTGCCAATAAGAAATTGTAATTAGCAATGTGTAGAGGGTCACAGGTCCCACATCTCTATTTTGGAAGTTAAATACAGGACTGGTTACTGAATAACTATGAACAAGCACATCCCAGCATCATTCTTAGCACTAAGCAGAGGGCAGACATTAACCCTGGAAGGGAAAAATGTCATAGGGTAGATGAGAGAGTAGAGAGCAATCCTATAAACTTTGTTCATGTTGAGCTGCAGGGCCAGCTGTTTCCTTGTTCATCCAAAGGATTGGCTCTTGGCAAAAAAAAGATTTACCACATTTGGCTAGATGGTGGGTCATACCCATACCAGAAAACTCAGTTGGATTTCTGCAATCTTTTCCTCCAAGGTATGGATGTATAGCCGGTTGTATCGAAAAGTACCAAGATTCCAGCGTCCAGAACTACTACAGGCAGCAAAAGCAGGTAAATTTCCTTGCTATGCTTGTGTTTATATTATCAGAATAAGAGCCTAGGGCTTTAAATGAACACACAGCCAACTTCCATTGACCCACTAATTTTAGTATGTATTAATGAAAATAAAGTGAAAAGGCAACATTTTCCAAAGCAAAATGCCACCCTTAAGATTAACTCTTACTGATAATAATGCTTACGGATTACTGTAAAGCGTTTTTTTAAAATAAAAAATTTGGGATTGCAACTGAGTGCTTTATTTGGAAGTGTGTTCACAAACCAGGAAAAAAGGAGTACTTAGATTAGGGGTGTCAAAGCGTGGCCCGCAGCCAGATGCGTCACACGCTGGCCATGTCCATGCCTGGTTTAGTGAAGGGGGAAAAAAATTCATGATATGTCACATGACATGACATTGAGTTTGACACCCCAAATTAGATGGTTCAGCATATCCCAAAAGTTTTAAGGGGATGTAATGACATGAGAAAATCCCTCATTTGCTTTTTGGTAAATAGGTATTCTGAAGCTGATTATGACATTTATTTTGAGAAAGTGCCCACAACATGCTTTGAAAATTAAAGATGTTGTCACTGATCTTAAACAAATTGAGAAGCCTTGATGTTCAGGGTAAGTTTTCAAAATTTATGAGGGGTTGAATGGCTAGGTAGGTTAGGAAGGAGGAGATAACGTTGAAAGATCTATTGCTTTGGAATAGCAATGGATGTGAGGGACAAATATACAAAATATATGGGATTTATGGATTATCTGAAGAAGACTTTGAGCTATGGTCATCACCAGTAATCTGAACATTACTCAATAGTGTAAAATAGCTGCTAGAAAGACAAATCCAATCCAATTAAAAGAGTGTATCAATGATGCATCGAAGTCGTTATTCCTTTCTTCTTGGCACTGGTGAAACCTGATCTAGAATGCTGTATATAATTTTGGGTATCTGTATTTCCAGTTAGGTATTCACAAGTTAGAAAAGATTCTGAGGAAAACAACAAAAATGATACATGGATTTGAGGATCATGCCCTATAAGGACAGGCTAAAGGACCTAGAGATGTTCAGTCTGTAGAAAAGACAAATGAGGGAAGATATTATAGGCACATAAAGGGAAACTGTAGGGAAGATGATCAAGAATTGTTTTCCATGGGCAGTGACACTAGGATCAGAAATACTGCATATAAGTTGAAACTAAATTTCATTTAAATGTAAAGGGAAAAAAAACTTCCTGACAGTAGGTTATGGGTTCATCATCTTTGAGGGTTTTAAAGAAGAGGTAGGACAGCCACCTCTTGAGGATGGTGTACTTGGTTTTCCTGCACATTGCAGAAGGTTGAAATAGATTATCCATTTGCTCTCTTTCAACTCTACATTCTGGGATTTTGTGAAATATCATACATTGGATAGTAATAACATTTACATTCATTAAGTAATCCAAGGAACAACCTTGAAGGTAAACTTTTATAGTTGAACTGATTTGAGTAGACAAACTGTAGACTCAGTGTGGTCTAGTGGTTAAGGCACCAGACTAAAAAGCAGGAGACCCTGAGCTCAAGTCCCATCTTAGCCATGAAAGCCAGCTGGGTGACTTTGGACCAGTCACTCTATCTCAGTCCACCCGACCTCCACAAGGCTGTTGTTGGGGGGAAATAGGAGGGAGGTGTGTTTGCGGGTTTGAGTTGTTTGCAAAAGTAATAAAGGTGCTATAAAACTAACTAAACAAAGTAAATTGCAGAGTTGTAATATAGTACAGGAGACTTTTGTTAAGCCTGATACTTTTCACCATAAAGCTATTTCTGGATTCCAGCTCACTCATTTGACTTTCCTGCCATGCTAGCTTTCTGTGAAGAGTTTCATAAGAAATGCATTTATAAAAAGAGGAAGGGATGGGTTGAGCTCATTTTCTGGGCACAAGCTAAAAGAAATAGGAGTGAGATATCCAGTTCAATTTCTTTTCTCAAGGAGGAGAATTCCTGCTGAGACATGCACGAGTGGCTCCACCTTCCCAGAAATGTGCCTTTGTCCTGACCCGTGATGGCCGGCCTGTGAAAATCCAGCGTACCATTTTTAGCGAGTGTTTTTATGTTCTTGCGTTGGATGAACTTGGTCGAGCTACAGGGGAATCTCATTATCAGGTCAGACTGTGAGAGCTGAATATCAAAGTTCCCGTTACTTTCTTAAAACAATTTCCCATTTGGCACCCTCCAGCGCTCTTGGCCTAATTTTAGTGATCACGTCTCTGGTTGGGACTGGTGAAAATTGGCTCCATTATAATCTAATATATCTGGAGGGAGCCAGCTTGGGAAAGGCTGCTGGAGACCAACATGGGTCTTCAAACCTGTTTATTCTCCTTCCCTCTGATTAGCGCCCTTTCCTGAAACCAGGCACAACTTCTAATGCATATAGTTAAAGTGGTATAAATTGGGTAGGCCCGCTTTACCTCATGATGCTGCAGTTAGAGACGGTCTTCCTGTCTCTATGGATACGTGGGTTCTACAGATAGAATCTGGGAAAGAATATCCACAATGATCTCTATGGGAAATGGCCTGTCAGAAGACTGAAATGATGTCTTGCAGGAATAATGCTTGGTTTTATAAGTAGTGGTTTGTAAGAAGAGCTACAGGATTTAATTTCTCCTATAGTTGAATAGCTGGGCAGATGCCAATGTTATCCCACTCCATCCCAATATAAACAAAAAACTCCTGAATGTGAATAAAATGTGGTAAGCCTGTGTATGCTGTTCTGAGCCCAGACAGACTCAAACCACATGTTGCTCAGCAACCTCTATGCTATGAGGTTTGATCCCATGCCTGTAGAATTAAGCTCTTGTTTACTCTGGGGATAGACAGGAACTCAGGAATAGAAAATCTATACTTGAAAGATAAAACGCTGGTTATAATGGTATTCCTATTGGCAGAGGGAGGCCCTTTCAATGATGGAAGCCATCGTGCACTGGGTGAGAGAGGATCCCTCTGAGTTGGGTCGTCCACAGCTGGCCGGTGCTGTCCCACATGACTCTATGGCCATCCCCATGATGCTCCTCAACTTGGTGGATCAGCTGTCAGAAGGAGATGTGGAGGTTGCAAATCGCTTCAAGGAATTGGACAACTGGTCTGCTCAAAGAATAATGAGTCACCTTCAGGTAAAGAAATGGGTGTAGTCAGCTTCCCTCTCCATAAACATGTTTGCCTCACCTCTGATACGTTACCAGCCATCTTATTTTCTTGTAGAGGAATGGTGCTGCAGTTTTGGAGAATGTTTCTGAAGATGGCAAGGAATTGCCAGGGTGTTTGGGAAGACAGCAGAATCCTGGTAAAAAATGAGGATGCTTTTGCATTCTCTAATTTGAAATATATAGAATGTATATACCGTGTTTCCCCGTAAAATAAGACCCTGTCTTATATTTTTTTGAACCCTGAAATAAGTACTTGGGTTTATTGCCATGTGCTCAAAAGCCAATTGGGCTTATTATCAGTGGATGTCTTATTTTCGAGGAAACAGGGTATGATCTTATTAAACACACACAGAGATTCTTATAGTAGTTTACTTTATTGTCATTGCATCTCGTACAACGAAATTAAATGCCATCTTCAGTGTACATTATAACTATAAAAATAAAACACACACATCCTTCACATTCTATACAATTGAATTGAAAACCCAATATTGCATTAATATTGCACTACTATATGCAGAAATATTGCATATAATAGACAAGGATCAGAGGATAGCAGTAGTGATAGATATTACTAAGTGACAACAACATCAGGAAGGAGTATAAGAAGCTGGAGAAATACCAGGTCTGAAGGAAGAATCAGAGAGGATGTGGAAAATAAAAGCCACAGTGGTCCCAGCTGTGGTAGAAGTACATTGGGCTGTAACTCCTAAGCTGGTGGAGTGGCTCCAACAGTTCCCAGGAATGACATCAGAGCGCTCTCTCCATAAAAATGCAGTACTGTTAAAACTCTTGTCCTGACGTTTAACTTGAAATGGGCAAAATGGTGCATCATAGGACAACACATTTTGACAACACTGGCTGCTGCTGTCATGTGATCTTCGTTTTCAACTTTCCTTGAACATTTCCTAGCCAGTCTTGCAATCCCTCCCACATCCAGCAGCCGTCACTTATCTCCCTTCTGGGAAGGGAAAGGAAGAAGGAAAGGAAGTTTCTGATCAGATTCCCCCAAGAAAATTCAATGAGGAAGCTGGCAGGAAGTTGGAAGTTGCCCCTACTCCCACTGCTTTTTTGCCTACTCTTGGTCTTTCTGTTTTTCTGTTTCAGTAAGAAAATATCTCTGAAACGAATGACCTAATGGGGCACAGTTTGTCTAGTACTAATTTATGAATTGACTGTAATTAGGAGCTAGATGTTCTGAATGATTTGTTCCTTCCTGTTCATTTTCATTTTGAGGTCATGCAATTGAAGCAGGCTGGTTCTTGCTCCGTTGTGCCATGCGCCAGCTTAACTCAGGCCTCCAGTCTCAAGCAGTGGACAAATTCATGAAACAGCCATTCCGTTCAGGCTGGGATCCTGAACATGGTGGACTCTTTGCCTTCCAAGATGTTGATGGTTTCTGCCCCACTCAGGTATAGACCGTAAAGTCTTATTTTCACCACAAAATCTCACCCCACCCTCAAACATTAGGGACTCTTTTTTTCTATTTTTCTTTCACCCTTTTCTGCAGCTAGAGTGGAGAATGAAACTTTGGTGGCCACACACAGAGGCCATGGTTGCATTCCTGATGGGTTTTGCTGAAACTCAAGACCAAGAGCTTCTGGAGCTGTTTCACCAAGTGGCCAATTACACCTTTGCTAAGGTACCTTTTGAGGACTGAAACCTGGGAATCATGGAATCAGTTTAGCCTCGGGAAATAGATGTATTTCAGTTAGTTAGGAAAGAGATGGGGAAATAGAGATAGAGGTAGAAAATGCTCTGCAATTTCACTTCATGAAAACACTTCATGAGTCCTTGGAAAATTGCTATTAATGTTTCATAAGCAATATTAGCCTTGATGGACTGAATATAGTTTTGTATGAGCATAGATTGTTTGCTTAGTATCTGGAAGAACATCAACACCAGTGGTAGGTTCCGCCCAGTTCCACCGAGCCGGTAGCGATGACGATATGACACCACCGAACTGGTTTTCCCCCCCATCCCTCCGCACCCTCCCACCCACCTCCCACGTTATTCTTACCTTTTATTTGGCCCCACCCCCAATCTATTGCTGCCTCCTGAGTCCCAGCTGATGGCTAGAGGGAAAAAAACTGTTTAAACTCTTGCCAGGGGGCTTCAAAGGGCCGCCCTACAGCTGATCAGTAAAGAAAACAAATGAGTAGACCGGTGCCTGCAAAAATACATGAGTAGACCAGTGCCTGCAAAAATACATGAGTAGATCAGTGCCTGCAAAAATAAATGGGTAGACCAGCGCCTGCAAAAATAAATGGGTAGATCGGTATAGCTCTGCAAGCAGTGAAAAGCCTGGTACACCAGTACTTCTGCTAAATCCTAAATAATTGTCACATGACCATCAAGCCACGCCCACAAAATAAGCCACGCCCACAGAACCGGTAGTAAATTTAGAACCCACCCCTGGTCAACATCCTAATGTATTTGATAAGAATGAGATGTTATTTATTTTTTTAGCTTTATAGACAGTCTATTTTTCCTTCAAAGCTCTTTGGCAACACACAAAGCATTTTCTTCTCTCATTTTTCCCTACAACAACTCCCTCTTTCAGGCTGACTGAGCTGAAAGACAGTAATGGCCCATTGTTACTCAGTGAGGTTCTATCACTAGTGAGGATTTGAATTCCTGTGCTAGTCTAGCATTTTCACTATCACAGCTTCATAATAAATAATATAATATAATATAATATTATATAATAATATAAAAAGCCAAAGTACACAATAAAAATTGTGTACTTTGGCTTTTTCTACAAATGTAGCTTGTTTTTCACCACCATTATTTTTGTTACTAGAAGCCTTAAATGTGTTTTGTATAGACCTTGAAGTTATTAGGAATCCTCCAGATTGTACTAGACAATTCCTATCATCATTTCTTCTGTTATCTTTAGCCTTCAGATACAGACAATGCTGTTTCATGCTTTCTCACATCCTTCCTGCTCATAGCACAAAGAACCATGAAGGGTTAGTATTCATAAATTCTGGAAGGATTCCTAAATAGATACTGGGAACAACAGCAGGATGCTGGTTCATTATCCTGTTGCTGTTTGTAACAGAACAAATCCTTTTGCAACACAGCAATATTATTACTTGATCACAAATAGAGTAGAGTATAATTCTTTATTGGCCAAGTGTGATTGGACACACAAGGAATTTGTCTCCGATGCATAAACTCTCAGTGTACGTACAGGCAGCAAGTGATAAATCATGATCATAATCATCATAAAATACATTCATCATAAATCATAAGATACAACACTTAGATGTCTACTTTCTACCGGATGTGCATGTTTGTTTATTACTCTCATTAGGCTTGCACTGTTAAAGACAACAAACATTTCTGTATATGCAAAATAATAAAAATTATAATATAGAGTGCAGGAGTTGGGGAACAATCATTTTTGAAAGTGTGGCTCCTATTTGTGTGCCCTTGTAATATATCCAGAATTGACAGCATATATGAAATAATTGTATGTTATCTTCACATTGTTCATAGATAATATACTGGTAGTCCTTGACTTATGACTTCAATTGAGTCCAAAATTTCTTTTACTATGCAAGATGGTTGTTAAATGAATTCCCACCCCCTTTTTATAACCTTCCTTGCCACAGTTAAGTGAATCCTGCAGTTGTTAAGTTAGTAATATGGTTGTTGAGTGAATCTGGTTTCCCCATTGACTTTGCTTGACAGAAGATCACAAAAGGCACATGACCCCAGGACACTGCAAGCATCATAAATAAATTGCCAAGCATCCAGATTTTGATTATGTGACCGTGGGGATGTGGCAATGGTTGTAAGTATGAAAAATAGTCACTTTTTTCGTGCAATTGTAACTTCATAGGTTCATTTAAAAAATGGTTTCAAGTCAAGGACTACTTGTATTAGATGTCCACTGAACTTTAGTTCCCCTTTATCCTAGTCCAGCATCCTGTTCTCCACTTCTGTCCTGCTCTTTGGTTGTTCCATCTTACGTAGCATAATCGCTATCATGTTTGTTTATTCCTTAGTTCCGTGATCCGGGACTAGCGGGAGAATGGTTTGGGTATCTGAGCCAGGAAGGCAAGGTGGCTCTCACAATCAAAGGAGGGCCATTTAAAGGTAAAATAAATAAATAAATAAAAATAATAAGGCCGGGGAGGTTTTAGCCTAAAGGTAGCTGTGTAAATGGGAAATCAGGAGAAATAAAATAACTTGTGAGCTCAACTATAGAACCATAAAAATAAAATTAAATGTGAGCTCCACCATAGAATGCAAAAAGTAATTAAGCAAGAGTACTTCTTATTTCCCTGCAATATATGTAAGACATAGTCCAAATGCATATAAGTTGAGGGGGGAAGGGCTAAGACTTGAACTGATAATGTTACCTAGTAGAATAATGAAGTGTTTGTAAGCAAATAACCATGCTTGGAGAACACCAAGAACTCCACAATTCACCTCTGAGGTACAGATATTATCTTCAGTCATAATTCATTTCCTTATCCCTGTTTGCACTTCCTTCATGAAAGTGTCCTGCTGTTGTAGATTGTCCATCAACAAGACACAATCTTGGTCTGACAGATCTCTTCCTGGGATTCCATTCACCCCTTCCTCCCTGGTGAATGTTACACCAAGGGCAGTTAGTTAAAGAACCATCACTTGGTCTTGAATGGGAAGGTACCATTTTGCTTTCCACATTTCATCTTTAAACAGGACGTTGGAGCAAAATAGTGTCGGAAAACATGCTCTTAGTAAAAACCTAGCATTGATGTTAATCATAAATACAGACAATAGTGAAATGAGTAATTAAAGAAGAGGACTATTAAACCAAGTTATAGGAAGCCAGTAGGAAAACTAGCAATCATTATCAGTAGAGATACAGAAAATGCAAGCATTAGATGAATAACTAAGCAAACTCCAAAAACAGTTCAATGTCCCTAGTGCTCCTTCTTAGTTTCCCTGCTATGTTTATTACCTTTCAAGGTTTTTTCTCGAAGTCTGTTCCTGTACCTTTTTCTACTTGGTGATTTGCAGAAAATATTATACCCTGTTTTCCCCAAAATAAGACCTCTTCTGATAATAAGCCCAATGGGGCTTTTGAGCACATGGCAATAAGGCCAAGCGCTTATTTCAGGGTTCAAAAAAATATAAGACAGGGTCTTATTTTTGGGAAAACACGGTATTAATGAGGAAAAAGAAAGTTGTAGCTGCTCCTCCGGAAGGAAAAGGGAGATACCTGTAAGAATAGAGCAGTTGGCATCTGCCTCTCACACATGGATGCATGGGGGAAACCTTTCCATACTTTTTTCTTCTCTGTGGCCCCTGTTGAATTTTTTATTTTTGAAATCCACATTTAACAACTTTATGGTACCATAAATATTCATGTCATCCATTACAATTCTACAAATTATATAGGATTAATTAATTTAGGAGAGAGTAGACAACATTTTAAAATAAAGAAGTTTATATACAATTTTAGGGCTTAGAAAGCATAGAGGATGGCATTGGAGATCAAAGGAAAAGCTGCTACCAAGGCAATGGTCATAAAAGAGGGGTTTGAGCCTGAGCCAAAAAAATAACTCAGACAAACCTAGCTCACTTGAAGATGAAGTGAGGGAGTGGGGAAGCACATTCAGACTTGCAAGATTCTGTTACTATGGCTGTTACAATATGACCTATATATGGCATTATTTCTTGGTCTGGTCTGCCTTTTTTGTTCTGACAGGTTTATAGTTTTATTGATTTTATGGTTCCCATAAGAGGAAAGCATTTTGTTGATTTTGGCAGTACTGTAGTGGTGAAAGGAGCTCTGGAGAACATACAAAAACCAGACAGGGGACCAGGTATATGAGGTTAAACCCTTTAGTGATAAACCCTTTTCTTTTTTCTCTTTGCAGGTTGTTTCCATGTGCCTCGTGCTCTCTATATGTGTGAAGAAATTCTGAAATCCTTGCTGGAAACAAAATCCACCATTCAGAAATAAAATGTTCTTTTGATTTTTGTAAAAGGCTGCATTTTCTGTCCTCAGGCGAGTTTAATTATAAAAATGATCTTTTCTGATCATTTTGAAACTCACCCCTCAAAGCCACCCATGTCTCATTTTAGAAGCCAAACATCTATTTTTACTTGTGATTTTTTGCTTTTAGATATTTTAGAAAAAGGAAGTCCCTATTATTTCTCACTTCAGATTCAAACTGGTTGGTTATTTTTTTATCTGTAATCTGACTAAACTTGGCAACACCATTATGAATAAATCTGCAGAGTGTACAGAGCCACATTTATACACTGCTTAAAAGAGCAGATAAATGGTTAAATGTAACAATTATTTGCATTTTCTATTGGGGTGGGGAAATATTTTTAATCTCTGCTTTCTCTCTCCCTGATCATGATTTACTTGCTGGTCATTGCCAAACGTGCCATTTCATTTAGATCTGTGCAATAAAGACACAAAATGTTGTCAAAAACAAATATCCCACTTCTATTTTAGTGCGCTTAGTGTGGCATAAATACCTCAACTTACAATTGGGACTAGAACTTTCATCACTAAGCATCGTGGTTAAGTGAGTTATGCCTGATTTTATGTCTCTTTTTGCCATGGTCATTAATGAAATCATGTAGTAGTCATTAAGCAAAGTCAGCTTCTCCCATTGACTTTTCTTTTTCGAAGCTTCCTGGGAAAGTTGCAAATGCAATCGTGATTCTAGGATGCTTTGCTCACATGATACTACAACAGTCATAAGTGTACGGAGTGGTTGTAAATCACTTTTTTTCAGCATTGTCATAATTTTGAGTAGTTGTTAAATGAGTGGTTGTAAGTTGAAGATTAGCTCTACATAGTGCTTCTTCCTTAAGTTAACCATACTACTAGGTGGATTTGGCTGAGAGGACTCGCCAGCTACGGTAGCTAAAGGAAGATAAGAATTCACCATCTCCCATTTTTAACATTTTAAAAAAATAAAACAGCATTTTGATTGACTTGCTTCCAAATGTAATTCTGAGGTAATTTAGAACGGTATTCTAAAACAGCACTCCCCAACCTCTGTGGCTTGGCCTGTGTGAGCAGCAGGCATGCACACATAGCTCAACTGCGAGTTGAGCTGTGCATGCGTGCCGGCCTGCCACCTGTGCGAGTTGAGCTGTGCATGTGCATGCACCTTCACCCACACATGCATGCCTCCAGACCAATGATAAAAAAGGTTGTAGGTATATTCTTTTATTGGCATTAGGGATCTTCTTGTTTGTCTCGCTTTGAATGTTTGTGTGTTTGTGTGTGTGAGTGTGTATATGTATCCAACATTTTTTTTCCTTCTGTCAATTGAGTCCGATTCTTGAAGACTGACTGACAGGTCTCTGCAGTTTTCTGGTTTTTCAGAAGTAGTTTGCCTTTGCTTTCTTGCTAGAGCTGAGAAAGAATGACTGGCCCAAGATCACCCAGCTGGGTTTGTGCCTGAGGCAGGACTAGACCTTATGTTCTCTTGGTTTTAGCCTGATGCAGACATGATTCCATATAACTCCTTGACTAAATAGAAAATAAAGAAATATTAATAAACTTCTGGGCTACCTAATAGCCTGGATTTCATCTTTTAACACCTCATTTTGAGGAATGATTGGTAAGGGTGGAAAGCAAGAGGCAAGATGTTTTTCTGTGCTTGCACTGCTATATTTTATATTGACTCCACTTTTTAGGCAGATTCATTGGGAAGAAAGACACAGCATGCATATAGTTCCAGCTTTAAATTTCATTTTGCATCATATTAAGGTTGCTTAACTCTGTACATAAAAAGATAGACTGAACAGTGGTAAACCTGTGGCCCTTCACTACCCTGTTTCCCCCAAAATAAGGCATGCCCCGATAATAAGCCCAATTGGGCACAGCAATAAGGCCAAGTGCTTATTTCAGGGTTCAAAAAAATATAAGACAAGGTCTTAATTTTGGGGAAACATGGTAGGTACAGCCAATGATAACATGGCATGATGACATAGAGTGCCAGAATCTCCAGCACTGATCCCCTTGCTTGAATTTGCTCTAGACAGAAATTTTACTGACAAAATAGTTAGAAGAACTTCAGCAGCTTTTCTTTTTTATCTAAAATCCATGTAGGATGTTCTTTAATGAACTTTGCTTGTTTAATGTATTTATAAGCAAGATAATTTCTCATTCATTTGGCAAATTCAAGATTTCAGAGTACTTCACTTGCTGCAGTCTTCACAACAGTTTTGATCTGATACTATAACTTGAGGAGAAAGGAAAAGTTCTAAGCCCCAGGATGACTTGTTAAAATCATAGTCTAAACGTATGACAGTGGTAGGATATCTGTAATTGGGAGATTTCTTTCTATTTTAACTTCCTAATATGTAATCTTTTAAGTTTAGGGCTTCAGTCTCATTAAACAGCAATTTATTCCTTTGAAAAAAACTATCACATTGCACAGTTTGTGACTTACTTCTAATCATAAGAATTAAATTTTTAAAAACAAGGTCTGGTAGTTGCTCTATTACCTACTGCTTCCCAAAATAAAAGAACTGCATATGAAATGAATTTTAAACATTCAAAGAATCTTCCTTCTTGGAAACCAGGGAGGGGAGCATACAAATTAAGCCGGTTGTTTGTAAGAAACTTGTACACGCATCTTGATATGTACAAGGGGCATTCACTCTGCTTGTATTTGAATTTGAATGACTGATATTTTGCAGGTATTTTCAGTGCCCACAAATATGATGATTTGGTTAAACTATGAATTGCAACCCAGCACATAAAGGGTCATTCAGATGTCATACCATCAAGCAAGGTTCATTTATAGTCTCTACCATACTCTCCCCAAGTTCAGAACTCGGCAACTAATCTTAACTGCAGTGCGTTCTGCTGCTGTGGTAGAATAGCTGCTATTCACTATAGTAGAACAGGCTCCACATGATTGCCATCTTCTGGAAACAGAAGGAACTATTGCTATTGATCAAATTTACACTCTTATTCAACAAGCGTTTTCTAAACAGGCCTATAAAATCTGTATTGTACTAACTCCCTAGGAACATTATGCATTTTTAAAAGAAATTGTTCCTTTCAAACCTAAAGAAAACAGTCAGCTGTTTGATAGCAGCAAGGCTTCCAGATGAAGCTTCTATTATATAGTAATCCTGCCTCACTCATTATAGATTTGGAAAAACCATTAGATTTGGAAAGATTTGGAATCCTAACTTCTTCTCCTTGTAACTCCTGGTGTTTTCACACTGTAACTGCTTCTAAATCATTAACTTTTAAAAATATAATTCCAAAGATCCCAGTATCTCCTGAGTGCACTTTTTAATCTTTCTGCCACAAAAATCGGTTGACGTATACTTATATGTCTTGTGATGGTTGTCAATACTAGAAGCCTCCATTTGTAGTATAGAAGCCTTAATTTGCCAAATTAACCCTTTGCTAAATATGGCAATTGCTTCAACCAAGTTGTCAGATGGAATTATCTAATGTACTTTAGCATATGAGAATGTAGTGTAACTATTTAAGCCTTTCAAATAACTTCCTCCTTGCCAGTTCCAAGATAAACTACTGAAACTGCCCAGAGAAAATTAAACCAGTTTTGTATTTTACAGATGTTTGGTTATGCAGAAAGAATGGAAGATAGAGCTAAATGCTGTCATCTAAATGAAGAAAGTTGCATCTTTTTCTCTCTCTTCTCCCCCCCACCCATCCATCACATTTAGAAACTGCCCATCTCCTTCACAAAGTGACTCTGGATACAAACACAGGTCAAAACACAAATATTTAAAATTCAGAATTAAAAGGCAGGGGGATGGTCTTCAAGGATTAACCAGCTCCATGGCTGCACGTACCTCTGGGGGCCCCAAGCTACCTAGTTGGTAAACTGGGTCTTTTCTGGAAGGCCAGGACATTTCTGGAAGGCCAGGAGAGGGGTGGCCTGTTTCGCCCCTATTGGGAGAATGTTCCAAATGACGGGGGCAGTGACAGAGAAGACTCTCTTCCTGGACCCTGTCATCTGAAATTGTTTAATTGCTGGGGTCCACAGCATGCCTGACCAGGTGAGATGGGCCAATGCAATAGAGTGAAGGAGGCTCTGCACACATAGGGCTTCAAAGCTCATAACAAAACCTTGAATTGGACCCAGAAGCAAACCAGCACCCAATGAGGCTCGAGCAAATATATCAACAAGATGCCAGATTTAGGGAGGCTGAGCTAGAGAGACTCATTATATCCTTTTTGCAAATGGATCTGAGGCTTGTTGGAAGAAATGTCCATCTGGGTTCAGTTCCAAGTGGGAAGAAAGACACTGGAAACATGGAGATTGCTTGGAAAGATGGTGTAATGGTGGACAGGACCACATAGGTTTCTTGGTCCTGGGCAAAGAAAAAGGGCAGAGATGCTGAGAGTGTCTGGGTTTTATACCCTCTCTGGGCTTTGGACTTCCTGGGACACAGGAAGAGTATCCTGACTGGTTGCTGTCAGAGGTCATAGCTAGCTTTGTAGGTTGTCTCTGTGTTAAATTTGGTTGAATCTTGCTGGGTGATGCAATGAAGGGCAATTAAATGGCTCTGCCTGAAGGAGGTAGATGTTTGTTATGTAGAATAGACTGGCCCAGGCCTTAATGGCCCATTGACAAAGGGTGTGTGTATTTCTGCCTCCCTTTTAGGGGAAATATTCTACCCTTTTAATATTTCCTAAAATATCTCTTTTTCCTAGGAGAGGGGTGGGTGCTAACTTCCTACAGCTCAGGATTGTGACTTTTAGAGAATACGAATTGTGAAGTTATCTAGAGTTGCCAGGTGTCCACTATTTGAGTGGACAGTCCGCTTTTTTCACATTATGTTCACTATTTTTTTTCACAAAATAGTGGACATTTTTTTTATTCAAAAGCTTTATGATGAAATGGTATGTAATCTAAAGCTGTACAGTCTAAGAGAATAAGGATAGGAGAATCGCGTTTTGTCTTTTTTTTCATAAGTTAGAATGAGACAAAGATCGAATATCCATTGAACTCGATTCTCCAAAAA